GATCATCATGTTTTGCAACGTCAAAATATAAAAGAACACAACTGATATAATATTACAAGAAATCACAAATGAAACTGATTGTTTGGGGCATTAACATTATGATAATTATAATGAAATCAAAATGATTATATTTTATTAAATTATAATTATATAAATTAATGAAACAGTTGTAGCTTATAGAAACTTTTTTAAATTTTGTTAAATTTATATCATTTTTCTAGTCGCGGTACTACCAATTAATGGGCACACACAATTAGATCAATAACTGCATCAATTGAAATCTACTACAGACATTATATTCATACAAACCATATTTAAATCAATTATTGTTATTATATACACATATTATTATTGAATATGGTGAAAGTATTGGTTATTTTTTAATTTCCAATAAGTTATTAATTGTTGTTTGAATCAACTATGCCTCTTGTGAGAACTGTATCAAAGTCGATGCTGGATCTAATGATCTGGTGAAGCTTATCACAGCATAGTATAATCAATTGTAATTGACACCAATTGATATACTGCTGTTGATAATATTCTACAAATCATGTTATCATTGTATTTGATTCATTTGAAATTATAGTGAGTTATTTTTTTGAATTATCTTGATGTAGTTTACTCTATGTGATATGTGATAATTAACTAGTTAACCTTGTGGATAACGTAATGGACAATAATAATTATTTGATGACTACAAATGATAATTCAAAATATGAGTTAAAACATTATGATTAATCTAATAAACGTTCAATCACAAACGTATTGTAAATAGATTGAATAATGCTGACTTATAATTCATATATAAATGGATGATAAATTGTATCTTGTATCACGTCACTCATAGAGATATTCATTGTTAAAACGAGGACATTCCATGAATTAAAGATCAATGAAGACAATACTTTGTAATTAATGCAGCTCATAAGATGTGTAACATTTCAAGAACATATGCTGTAACCTTGAAGATTATAGAACAACACAGATTTTTCAGATAAATTTCAATTATGAGAAGAAAAATTTAAGGGATGAAAAAAGGGAAATTTGGATCCTTTATATAATAAAAACTACGGCGGCTAATATACTACAATAATGGAAACAACTAAAATTATTAAATCAAGATCTCATAATGCTTATCAAAACTCATAGACCTTTAATGGTTAGAGAAATGTGATAGTACACTGATCATCGAATGTGTATATAGGATCTTTAATATATAATTAACAAAAAAGTAATCGAATATTTAAATATCCCTTAATTCATAAAGGTGTACTTTTGCAGTCAAAATTTAAAGGAACACAACAGAGATCATATTAAAAGAATTCAGTATAAAACTGGATTGGCAGTTAATCACACCAATCACTTGAATCCACACAATGTCATGAAGAAATTCATGAGATGGAAAACATCAATTATTGTATAGCTAGTAATCATTTATAAATCATTTTTGAAAGAAACTGGCCTTTTAAATTAAATTTTTAAATGTTTTTTTTTAGTCGCGACCATAATTGGAATTAATTGGTATTCATCACATATTAGATCAATAACTACATCAATTGAAATCTACTACAAATAATTCATACAAATCATATTCTTATATTGGTTATTGTTATTATATACAAATATTCAATAATCTTCACCCCTACTAACAACTTCTTTTCTTGTTGGATGAAGCAAAATAGTATGTTCATATTGTGCAGTATAAGAACCTTTTGAATCCATTAATGGAGGATAATCTTGAACAATCCCTGATTTAACTAAATTATTTAAAGCTAATAAATATTTCTCTTCACCTAATCTATCTAAATAACGACGACAAAATGGTAATGTACCAAAATTTTCATCAATTGTTGCTAATAAACTTTTAGCTTTATTTAATCTTAATGGAACATTTGGTGCATCAACATTTTTAGCATAATGAGAACATTCACCTTCTGCCACGACATATCCACGTCCTGTTGAACCAAATGTTTCAATAGCGAAAGTTTCACCTTCTTCCATCTTGGTTTCATCACCATTTTTAACAATTGGAACTGATTTACCACCATGAATTTGATATTTACCAATATTATGACCATTTAAATTACGAATAGCTTTAACTGGATATACTTTTCCATCAATTTCAACTTCATATGATTCCATAACTTCTTGAATTGCTTCACCAATATCTGTTAATCTAACATCAATACCAGCTTCTTTAATACCTGTATTAGTGGCTGCTTTAACAGCTTCTAATAATTTATCATATTTATGATCAAATGTCTTTGTGAAAGCACAATCCACTATATAACCATCAACATGAATACCATAATCAACTTTCATAACATCTTCATATTTTAATACAGTTTTATCACCTGCATTTGGTGTATAATGTGCAGCACAATCATTTAATGAAACACCTGTTGGGAACCCAATACCTGCTTTTTTAGAATCTGATTCATTCATAAATGTTCTAACTGAATTTTCAATTAATTCTGCAACTTCTGTTGTAGTTAATCCAGGTTGAACAATATCATTAATTCTTTTTCTAACACGACGATGAATCTCGGCACCTTTTCTAAAACTATTCCATTTTTCTTGATCTTGATTATCTAAATAACGTTTTTCTTCATTTGTTGTTCTAAAATTATTTGTATCTTTATATTCTTGCCATTCACCTTCTGGATAAATTTCATCTGTAAAAATTGTATTAATTGGTACAACAACCTTCTTTTTTTTTTATTATTCTTCTTCTTTTTTTTCTTTTTTTTTTCACCATTATTGGTTTCTCCACCTTCTTCAATTTGTTCTTCATCTTCTTCTTGATCTTGAACTTGGTTTCCATATTGTTAATATAAGAACTCATCATTATGATAACTATTAATACTCACCATTTAATTTTTCAACATTTTCAGCTGTTTTAGCAACAACATCATTTGATTGATCATTTGTAGTTTCAATAGCTGTAGTCATTCTGGAATTAAATTAATAAATAACAAAATCACTTCAAACTAGTTCTTTTGAAAACTCTTTTAAAATATTGAAAATGTCAAAAGTAGTTACAATTTAAATTTTGCTTTAGTTGAGTAAAAAAAGTTCGCGAAATGAGAGACTTTTATAGGAGGAAATTGTTTAAATATGGGTTAAATTGGTGAATATATGGTCAAATTTATCCTGGAAAAGCAGGTGAATCACCTAAAATGTAATCTTATTACGCTTATCACTTTTTTCAGTATTTTATTACCACTCTTCCTTTTGAAAATACCAATTTCTTATATTTTTAAAGCATATTCACGTGACTTTTCTTTTTGGTCGTGAAAAAAAATCAAAATTGTTCAACTTTAAAGTCAATGAATGGAATCAGATATAGTCCAAAGATCCCAAGTCAAAAGACAACTTATAAATCATATAATTCACAACCATGTTCAGACTAGGGTGTCGTTCTATACAATCAACAAGTGTACTATCAAGTATACGTTTCAATAGTACAGCTGCCCCAACAAATCCAAAAAGTAAATACTTATTAGATGCATTGAAAAAAGTATCAAAATCACAAAATTCAATTCAAGATGAATCAAGAAAAACATTTGATGTATTAAGTTTAAGAACAGATTCAAAAGAAAATCCTCTTAATAGAGATCAAAAATTATCAAAAGAAAGATTTGAATTTTTAAGTAGAACTGATTTAAAAGCAAAACCAAAAGATGTTGCTAAACAATTAAGAATAACAAATCCTACTGCTGGTAAAATTTATAATGTTGTTAATAATGATATTAATGGTGCTTTTAGAGCTTTACAAAGTAATTTGAATGCAAATAAAGTTAAACAAGATAAAATTAATCAAAGATTTCATATTAAACCTGGTAAGGCAAGAGAAGCTAAAACTATTCGTAGAAATAAAGTTGTATTTATGAATGGTTTTAGAAGATTAATGAATGTTGTTAGAGATGCTAAAAGAAGAGGTTATTAAGATTTATGAAATCATAAAAAGAGAGAGATTTGTAAAATAGAGGTGTGAAGAAAAATAATATCATATATTCATGTAAATAACTTAATGAAACAATATTTGAGCATTTTAAGAAGGTATATTGTAGTTGATGTGTTTGTTTTTACCTTAGGATTGATGGTGAGAAGTGAGAAGAAGTTTTGTTTGTTAATTTTGAGAACATTAATGTTTATAACCATTGAGCGGTTTATTGAAAATTATCTATAAACTTGAATTAATTTCCCAATTCAATTTTGGTTTTCTGTCTATTTGTCAAAGTAACTACTAACATATTATAACAATGACAATACCATTTGAACAAAAAACTGAAAGACAAAAATTAGATGATGGAGATACAGAAGTGATTAATACAAATGTATCACCTTCAAAATTAATTTATTCAACTTTTAATAATTCACATAATGGATTTGGTAAATATATATTTGATTCAAAAGTTCCATATGCAACAAAGAGAAGAAATTTTACAATTGAAGAAAGAGGTTATTATTTTTCAACAAGATTTGATGTTATAAATTCACAAAATTTTGATATTAATGATCCAATATTAAATGATATGGAAGATACTAGTAAATTATATGGATTTGTTGAATATCTTCGACATCCAAATTTGGAATTGATGTATGATGTTGTAAGATATATTGGAAGACATCATTATCATGTTGATTCATGTACTAAACTTAGTCCAAATGTTTCAAAATATTTTAAATTAAAAAATCCATATAATGGACAAATTGAAAAAATTGTGGAAATGGCATATACAAATACAAGTTGGCTTGGTGCTAAAGATATAAGTTTTTATCTGATGGAGAGTGGGATTGGATATATAGAGGATATAGTTTCAGTTACAACGTTAACTTCAACAAATCCTTTATTTAATGATCCAAAAAGTCCTAATGAAGCTATTCCAAGTGTAATTACTATAATTAAATCACCACTTTTATTAAACATCCCAGAGGTAATATTGGAAAGATATCTTCAACATCCAGATGAAAATGTATTGAATAGAATGATTCCAAGTGATTTACTTGATCATTTACCTGGATTGAAGGAATATTCTCAATTAAATATGGAAAAATTAAATCAATTTAAAAAAGGTCAACCTTTAATGCTTATAAACCAAGATGGGAAATGGGAAAATTCTAATCAAGACGAAGGTGAAGAATGGTATGATTCATTGGATTCAATGGAGGATTTGAAAAATGCAATCAATGAGATTATTTAAAGTTTTTGTATACTTTAACGAATGGTGTTTTTGGTTCTTTTTGATTTAGTTTGTAGTCATTGATTTGAGTTGATTTTTGACGTTTCTAAGCCCATTTCGGAAATTATTATTCGGGTATATAAAAATTACAAAATTTACGATATTACACTCAATGAGAATTTTAATTTGATGAGAACATTTCATTGAGAAAGTTATTGATATATAAGAAGGATTCCTGTTATTTCTAGTCTCTCTTGCTTTGATATCACTCAACTTCAATAAGTCTTTAGTCAATTATTTCCAGCTCAGATCAAAAAGATATTAATTAATACTCACAAAGATGCCTATATATGCAAATCAATTAGAAAATGGTTTATATGATGTTACATCATCATTATTAATTTCCAAAAAATTAATTCATGGTGTTATATTTGCAACATATGGAGATTTTGGTGATCGAATGTTTAATCCATCAATTCCTTTTGAAAAAAAATTAAAACAATGTCATGTACGTGAAAAGGGAATTTATAAATATTATTTATTACATTTTAGACCAACAAAGAATATTTTAGGGACAAAAAGTTTAAGTGAACAATATGGACAAGTTTATTTTTTGAAAAGAGAAGGATTAGATTTTAAAACTGATGTTTTAGAACATATCTTGGAACATCATCAACAATTGGATGATATAATGAGAAATTGTTCAGGTAATGCTATAACAAGTTATACAATGGAAAAAACAGATCGATTCCCAAATTATTTTTATGCAAATAATGCAGATATTTCAACAAGAGAATTAACTGAATATTTATTAAGAAATTTTAATCAATTAGAATTAATTGAAGGTACAGTTAATGTTACAACAATAGTTTCCACTGAAAAGAAAGATTTAGGTGATGATGGATTACCAAGTTTAATTACAATAATTAAAGCTGGATTTATGGATCAATTACCAAGAGAATTATTACAAGAATTACTTCAAAGTCCTGAAAGAGATCATACATTAGCTTTAAGTCCACATGCTGCTCAAGATTTACCACCAGCTTATGATGGTTAAATAAACTTACAAAACTTTTAAAGCATTGTACTCGTATAGATTTAAATCACTATATTAAACTATAATAAATATTTGTAGTCTCATTTCAAATCACTAACTTTAGTTAATTTTGGAGTTCCAGGTGCAGGAGGTTTAGAAAATTTAGTTTGAACGAAAACTTTTTCAATGCCACCTTTTTTTTCATCAAATGCTTTATATAATTCTTTAAATTCTTTAAAATCAAATCTATGAGTTAATATAAATGATGGATCAAATTCACCCGATTGAATTCGTGACATTAATTCTTTCCAATATTTTTGAACTGGAGCTTGTCCACAACCTCTTAATGTAATACCCTTTTCCATTAAAGCACCAATTAAGAATTGATTTGCAAGTCCAACATAATCTGCAACTAGAGAAATTGTACCAAATTTCTTTGTTGCCTTAATTTGTTCATTAATTAATTCTGATGTATCAGTTTCTAAACCAAGTGTTCTTTGAATTTTATCTGTAAAACTTTTAGCATAACGGAAAGCTGCAGCATCAATACTAGCATCAACTCCACCTGGTGCTATTTCACGAATTGCTGAGACAACATCTTTTTGTTCATCAAAATTAATAACTTTAGTTCCAGGAACAACTTTTTGAACTTTATCTAATCTTTCCTTAACATTATCAATACCAATAATTTGTTTAGCACCTTTTAATTTAGCAAAATTTGCAGCCAAGATACCAATTGGACCTAACCCCCAAATTGCCACTATATCCCCAGATTTAACTTCAGCAGAAACAACACTATGATAAGAAGTTGGAATAATATCAGATATATATAAAGCTTTTTCATCTGGGACATTATCAGGAATTTTCATTAAATTAAAATCAGCTTTTGGAGCACGAACATATTCAGCTTGACCTCCAGCAAATCCACCAGTGAAATGTGCATAACCATAAATACCTGCAAAATTATCACCATACATTTCCTTTTGAATTGGTGAATCACTTGTATTATCACAACCACTAGTTAATTTCTGTTTACAATAACGACAATGACCACAAGCAATTTGGAAACTTGCCACGATACGATCACCAGGTTTTAAATCTTTAACATTTGAACCAATTTCCTCTACAATACCACAATATTCATGACCTAATATATCACCTTTTCTTAAATCTAAGATTTCTCCATGATATAAATGTAAATCACTACCACATACAGTAGAACCTGTAACTTTAATTAAAGCATCTTCAGGTTCTGTAATTTGAGGTTTTGGAACTTCATTAACTTCAACATTATCTTTACCCATCCATTGAAGGGCTAAACATTTGATTGATGATGATTCTTTATGAATTGGTGTAACTTCAGTCATTTTTGATTATACTATATTATATTACAATATATATATATATATAAAGACTTAATCAACAATCAAGAGATCTAACCTCTTTATATAACATTTTCATGTTTGCTAGAGCATTATTATAGCTAAAAACTTAGTCTAACCATTTCAAAACCGGTCAAATATTGTTTAATTGCTATTAAATGGTACCTAATATTAACCAAATGATATTGTGACAACCTTCGTGTGTGAACTAATAAAGTCCGAGATATTTATCAATTAACGTTTGATATTTTGATATTTTGACACTTTTGAACCATATTTTTGCTTTGGGGTCCTAATATATTCTTGTGATTGCTGAGTACCCACTAAATTATTGTTACCATAAGCAATGTAACAGTCTTTTATTAATGTATAGACACTTATATCTCGGGTATTAAACAATAACAGTTTGATAGATTTCCTAAGCTTTTGTTCAATCATTGACTATTATTCTCCTACCCGAAGATAACCCAATGAGCATATCATTCTCAAATCATCAACTTAGTTAAATTTAAATTGCTTTGACGGTTAAATAAAAGTTTAAATTAAAAAAACATTTTCAAAACAAGTAATAAAGATGGTCGGAATTCCAATCAGTTTCACGTGATGTGTGGCTTTCTTAACTATGGGATGCTTCAATCAATTCCGACCACTTTTAAATTGATTTCGGTATTTCAATTTCAATTTTAAAGAAAACAATGAAAATTTGTGGAATTTTAATTAAATTTAACGTGTTTTTTTTGGAAAGAAAAGCTATTGAAGTTGGTTAATTCAATTGATTATCAGTGTCTACTCCTCTGCCTTCGATCATAAGAGACTTTGTTACTACATGATTTCAATATAGCATTCGTTTAAACAAATTTGAATTTTGGATTTTCATTGATAAGATAATAGAGGCAAAATAAAGATAGTCCATACAAAACAAATAAATTAGGCTAACAAATATCAATAAAGTCACCATGGGAAGTAAATCAACTGCTCAATCTGCTGCTATCAACCTACTAAACACAATCATCGGAGCTGGTATGCTTGCCATGCCCTATGCTATTCGTGCTGATGGTATAATATTGGGGATATTAGTAATTATAACATCTGCAATAACTTCATCTTTTGGACTTTATTTACAAGGTCAATGTTCAAAATATGTCAAGACAGGTGAAGCTTCATTTTTTGCATTGGCTCAATTAACTTATCCTCAATTAAGTGTTGTTTTTGATTTAGCTATTGCTATTAAATGTTTTGGTGTTGGTATTTCTTATTTAGTTGTTGTTGGTGATTTAGTCCCCAAAATTGTTCAATCTTTAGCAAATGAAGAATTTATTAATCAACATCTTATATTAACTGATAGAAATTTTTGGATTACAATAATTATGATTTTCATTGTTGTTCCATTATCTTTTTTAAAAAAATTAGATTCTTTAAAATATGCTTCTATGATTGCATTATCATCAGTTGTTTATTTAGTTATCTTAGTGTTTGTTCATTTTGCTAAAAATGATATTGTTGATAAAGGTCCAGTTCGTTTTATAAAACCTTATAACGTTTCATCAATTTTTGCAAGTTTCCCAATTTTTGTATTTGCTTATACATGTCATCAAAATATGTTTTCATTAGTTAATGAATTAGATGATAAATCAAATAAAAATATAAATAAAGTTATCGGTTCAGCTATAGGTATTGCAATGACATTATATATTCTTGTTGGTGTTACAGGTTATTTATCATTTGGTGATAATGTTGAACCAAATGTTATTGTTGGTTATTCACATGCTATTTCATCAACAATTGGTAGAATTGCTATAGTTATTCTTGTAATGTTATCATTCCCATTACAATGTCATCCGGCAAGAGCTTCAATAAATCATATCTTGTTTTATTTTAAACAAGTTGAAAAAAAAGTTCGTACAGCTGCTTCAAATGCTTCAATGAGAACTAATATAACAAATCGAACTCAAGGTCAAAATAATACCACAGCAACACAAAGTGATGAAAGTGATCAATTGATTGATTATGATTATCAAGATGGTTTATTAGAAGAAGGTTCACATGCAGCAGTTTCTCCATTAAAAGGTACAAGATTTATAATTATAACTTCAATCATTTTAATCTTAAGTTATTTAATAGCAATAAGTGTTACATCATTAGCTCATGTCTTAGCATTTGTTGGTTCAACAGGTTCAACTTCAATTTCATTTATATTACCAGGAATTTTTGGATTTAAATTAATTGGATCTGAATATATTGATCCAGAAACTGGTACATTTGAAGAAATTCCAAGAAAAACAAAAATTATAAAATATTTAGGATGTGCTTTATCTATTTGGGGACTATTAGTTATGGTTATTTGTTTATCAGCTACGATTTTTCTTGGAGCATCTCATTAAAATTAATTATTTAATAGTATTTATATATATATGTTTCTGTACTAATTAGGTAAAAATGCAACTTTATTATGTAATACTTTTTCCTGCAAATAACGATAAATTCCTATTTACAGTAATTACCACTACTTCGCAAATTCCAAATTCAAACAATAAAACAATTTTTTTTGCCAAAAAACGCGAAAAAACTGATTTTAAAAATTCCGAATCAAAAAATGAAAATAATGAAAATGGTAAAAATTCAAAACTTTTGAATAAATTTATCAAAATTTATGATAAAAACTTGATTTTAAAAGGGAGAAATTCGTTAGAAATCATAGAAATTTATTGGATTCAGTCATTCGTTTATTCAGGAGTTTGTCATATCCTCAAATAAATTTTAATATAAGGCAGATCTCAAAGGCAAAAAATTATTTGTTTTGTTTTTTGATCGCGTTTTTTTAAATTCTAGACTTTTACACTTGGAAAATCAAATCAAAAGATCACAAGTTTAATACGTATTATACCCTTTTCATTTGTTCCTAATTACTTTCACATACACAAATAAAGTTATTAGTATTGAACTAGAGAAGCCTATTACTATTAATTTAGAATATTTCAAATATCATAAGGAAAAACAGTATTTGATCAGATCTATAAATTGTGAATTTTATATATAAAAGGAGGCTAAATATCATACAACAAATATATCAAAAAACCAACCATAAAACCAATAATAAATCATATAAATTATATAAATGATGGGTTTAGAAAAACCTGATTCAGGTTCAAGATTCCGTTTTTCAAACATATCAACAGATCCTTTTGCAATTTCTACAGTATCTATAGCATTTATATCATGGATTATAGCATTTGCAGGATCTATTGCATCAAGTTTAACAGAAAGTTTCCCAAGATTTACATGGTGGGGTTTAGTATTTGAATTAATTTTATTAATAATGTTATTTTTTTTCTATACATTTGATTTAATTGATCAATATAAATCATTTTTAACTTCAGCTTTTGGTATTGCATTTGTTTATACAACAAATTCTGCAACTGGATTAGTTTATGCTTCTGGATCTAAAAAGGCCACAGCATCAGCTGGTGTTATTTTATTATCAATGGTTAATTTAATTTGGGTTTTTTATTATGGTGGTGATAATTCTTCACCAATTAATCAATGGATAGATTCATTTTCTTTAAGAGGTCCAAGATCTTCAAATAATCCATTTGGTCATCATGGTCATTTACCAAGTAATTATCATTCAAGCTATATTGCATCAAATTCAAATGGTATTGATGATGATTATAATAGAGGTTCCACGGTTTCAAATCAAAGATATGTTTCATCAACAAGATTAAATGGTTTAGAAAATTTAAGTGAAAGAAATACAAATACTACACCAAGATTTGAAACACCAATTCCAGAACATGCTTCAATGAGTTTTACAGGTGATCCAGATACTCAATTAGTTATTGATGATTTCCCTTATACTGCAAGAGCTTTATATAGTTATGAATCAAGTCCAGAAGATGAAAATGAAATTTCTTTTGAAAAAGGTGAATTATTAAAAGTTAATGATATTCATTCAAGATGGTGGCAAGCAAAAAGATCTAATGGTGAAATTGGGATTTGTCCAAGTAATTATGTTGAATTAATTGAATAGATTTAAAACCATTCATTGACGTTATTTTTTTTCATTTTCACTTCTTGCTAAATCTTTTGAAACAAAAAAAGATTTTGTATTATGCTTTTTCACTTTTTATGACCTCATTTTATACCATTTTTTACTTATTTTTATTACATTTTTTAATTGTTTTTTATTATGGATTGTTGGATATATAAACTATTATGAAATTTTGATACCCTATGGAGTTGATTTATCAAAGAAAAAAAAAAAGAAAGAGAGAGAGACATATTTAATAAAATATTTTATAAATAGACGAACGTTCTTGAATAATCAATTGTATTAGTTTTACAAAACATTTATCTAAATCTAAAATTCATGTATCATAAAAAAGTTTAAATAATTTCATATATATATAAAACTTGGTATAGTAAATATCGTAACATCATAAAGAAACCACCAAAAAAAAATCATTTGTATCATAAATAATATATCATAATAAAATCATAAGCATATAAATCTCCCCAAACCTATTGTAATAAACCAGACTATCAACAACTTGAACTAATTTGTAATATGTAATAATTTACGATTAGCTTTCTCCATTACAATAGCTGTATTTTGTTTTGTATTTGAACCTTTTTGAAATCTTGGATCACAATTATCATCATTTAAACTTAAAGCTGATTTTTCATTAATTATGAAGGTTTTAACATTATTAAAACTTAAAACGACTAATTCATTGAATGTATAAATTAAAAACACTAAAATTAAGACTGATTGAACGCTATTGAATAAACAAAATTTTGACATGTTGTAGAGTTGTGGTTGTGATTGTATAAATTGTATTAAATTGTAATTTGAATTGACTGATGATGAACAACTTAACTAACTGAACAAAAGAATCATATGAAGATATTCAACTCTTTATATATACCTTTATACTAGGCTTAGACAATTATTTAAATCTGGAGACATATTGCATACATCATAATTAGCCCACATTTGATCATTTATTCGATTCGTAACTGCAAATTGTGCATAATTACAACCTTTCAAAATTTCACCATAGTGTAATACTATTAACCATTATACATTTATAGCATACTAACTTATGACTTAATCGCACAATGTACCCGGTACAATGCCCCTGATTTACATATCATATCAATTAATACGTTATAATGTTACAATTTGATCTGAAATTGGAGTTAATCGGGTCATCAGAATACGTTATTGCGTTGTTGCTTATTACTAGAATTAAATT